AAACAGATGCCATTAAAATACACTTGAATATCCATGCCATTCCTCAATCACATGCACATAGAACACTGCTTACTGCATGGCTATTGAGACCACACCCCCTACTGGCACTGTGCATGCCTCCATCACATGTACAGAAGCCCAAAGCACAAGACTATTGAAGGCACACATTTGAGCCTGTGGACTAAACAAAGTGAAGTAAGTTTTGATAATATTATGGGGAAATATATTTATTAAATGTTTAAATTGCAAATATCACATACAAATGCATTCATTTAGTAGCAATGCTGATAAGTTAGATGCTAAATAAGCTAGCATAACTTTATTTACCACATAAGGCAGATGCTAGCTACCTCATGTGGCTGTTTTTCTCTGCCTCCTGCAATATGTTTTCAAGATCATTCCAGTTGTTTAGCAAGCCTTACTATTATGTATCTGTTCATGCCATTGCATTAGTATTCTTACTAGGGTTGGGCCGACAGACATCACGATGTTTAGCCGACATCGCGATGCCCCCCCCCCCCCCCCCCATGGTTTCCATGGTGACGCGTCATGCTTGGCACGTGATTCACCACAGCCAAACTTGTTCTGTTCTACTTACAAATAAATCTGTTGAAAACATTTTGCATGGATGTTTTCTTATGACTTCTGTTTATATTTATGCTTGGTTATAAAATGATCGATTACATTACAATGAATTCCCAGTTAGTTCCCCTAAATTCCCATTAATTCCCATTATTCCCATGGAAACTTTCTAATATGGAATATTTTCAAAATTCCCCAGCTTAACTTCCCATGGAAATTTACCGGAAATTTTCCGACTTCAAAGTCCGCTCGGTCTAATGTTAACCTAGATAATTGTGTGCTATTATTTAGCACATATTCAAGTATGAATGGTGTTACAGCATTTGTGTGGAGAGTGTGTTTACTGCATGACATACAGGCGCCGGTTTATCGCTGCATTTAACTTAAAATACTACATTTTTGCTCATACAGATAAGAGTAATGCAAACCGTAAAAGGTCTACTTTTATTTCTGTAAACTCACAATAACAACAAAACCTTGTGCTTTTGTAAAGTAACGAAAACTATCAGGATGCACGTCACAAAAATGATCCGAAACTCAGCGTATACTTGCCTCACAGACATGAGAAATATATCTAGCCTATAGAAAGTTTGAAATGTTCTCAGATTGTGTAATGCGTATGAAACGTGCATATAGGCGTGTCCACAACTGCGGAGAGGACGAGTCAGCATTGTGATTTAATCTCTGCAGCCGAACACACAGAAAACATTATCAATAAATTAATAAAATGTTTTGAGTCTCACATTCATAATCATTATGTTTGCCGGTGCGCTGTGCCTTTATGTGTGCGTTTGAGCGCTGATTATGTATTCTGTAGGCAATTAAAGGCTCATTATTATGATTTATGGCTTATTAATATAAACGCGCAATTAGTCGACTAATGGCTTAAATGAACGACTACTAGTCGACTAGAAAAATCTTTAGTCGAGGGCAGGGTTTGACTACTGATCTCTCTAATGAGCGCCAGCAATTCAAGAAATGATTATTAAGTTTGGTAGCATTGACCTGACTGGTCTGCAAATGTCTTAAACGTTTAAACCAGTGGACAATCAAATCTGTCAATCATATTCAACGACTTTGTCTGAACCAGTAAGCAGCAAGTAAACAAGATGAGGATGAAAAATCCAGATTAAACCAGCATGGATTCCATATTTTCAAACAGGATATACAACTACAATCACATCCAATCCATGTCGTTAGACACCGGAACAGAGACAGGATCAATCTTCCTGCTGGATGGAAAGGCCTGTGTGTAGAAGCTTTATCCAAGTGTCCTGGGGAATAGTTTGGCTGCTTTCCTCTTCATATTTCTGCTACTCTAGAAGAATCATAGCGTTTTTTTCTTTGTAGCTCCACACCGCATAGCAATACATGACAAGACACTGTGACCTACATTTCAAAATCTCCAGCTCATTCCCAGATACACAGCGCACTAGAATCAGGGTTCAAGGGGCTATTATGGGAACCCGGCAGGACAACAGAAGCGTGATGTAATACACAAGAGAGTGACATCTCTGCAGACAGACTCAACAAAGCTTTATAATCCCTCTCGGTTCATGGCTTTACTCATGCCTCTTTCTGACGTCATGCTCCTTTCATGACCAAAAAAAAACGAGTTTCTTCAAAGCTATCTTTCTAGAGAGCGAATGATCAAACACTTTCTAAAACTGATGTTCAAGTCTTTCATACTCAGTAGAGAACCAACTACTCTTTCCTACTCTTATTGCCTCTGACAGATTTCTTAAAGCTCCTGATAAACTTCAAGCGAAAATCGAAGAACGAACTGGTGGACGTCATTCTGGACAAAATCAGGCCAAAACTAAGTTCATTTCGGTATGTGTTCTCTGAATGTTTCTTTAGATAGTCCTGTGACGTTCTGCTTATAGTTGGACTAACTCAAGACAGAGCCGTCTGGAGTCTCGAACTCCTTTACGTCGCCAGACCGAGCGAAGCCGAAGACGTTTAGTGTTATTAACCGGGACGCCAAGCTGATCGCCACAAAACATTGCCATTTGGGAGTTCCACTCTGTCAACTTACTGTATGTTGGATCCAAAATACCATTTTCCATTTTAATTTATTTTCCACTGGACAGAAATGTCCTGATTGCCAAGAGTGCGTCTTAGAAGCCGTGTCATGTGACCTAACGTCAGTCCGGGAATGTCCTCTCTGCCATGCCGGACCAGAATAGTCTCCATCTCCACTAGTCTTGACTTTATCAGCGTTTTCAAGTGGAGTCTGCAAGCCTTTTCACTTTTAAAACACTCAGACACTATCAACACGTGACCCTTCTCCAGAAGATTGAGATGGAAAAGTCAGCAAAGGACATTACAGCCGTATAGGACATCATGCAGTTAGAAGACCGTACGCTCTCTGTGTGAAACTAAACTGAGCCAAGATTCATGCAAACACTGTGGATTTCTAACCCAGGGACTGTCTGGCGTGTGTGTGTGTGTGTGTGTTTCAGACACTAGTTTAGGGTCCGATTACCAGTGAAGTGAAGCTTTGGACAGCGTTGTGAAACCCACAGAGCACGCTCAACATTAACTTCAGAGTTCAAATTCAGGCCAAATACCTTCTGGAATTACAATATAAAAATCAGGCTGTTTTTATGGCTAGTAAGAGGCATGTTTTAATTTTTCTTCATTTAGACTAGGCATCTTCCAGCCAATTCATTACAGTGCACATTCTTATGAAATCAAAACAAATTTTTTGTGGCTATTAGCTTTGAGGCCTTCAATATAATTGACAATCTTTTAGCGCACAGTCTCGTTTTCCTGCCAAACTGACTAATATTATTGACCTTGCATGCATGAGTTTATGCATATTTTAGTCCAATACAATCCTCTCGACAGTTAAATTGACCCGTCCACTGGATTATAGCATTTGGTCACTATTTTCATCGTGCAAGGAAAGTTGCTGTAATTCAATCACTGCTGATTTGACATATATTGATGAAAGTGTCTTTATTGCTTTCAATGGTGGTTTTGCAAAAGGACGCTGTGATAGGCTCCGCCCCCTACTTCCTGTGAAGGACATCGACACAGGAAACAACTTCACGGGGTCGTTAAAGTGACAGTAATTGCTTTTTGTTGTTGATGATAGCATGATTTTGTCGCCTACTTAGTTGATACTTTGAGATAATAAACTCCTAGAATAAATGTTGTACAACTGTAGCTCAAATCTGAATCCAAAAGTTTATTTTACACATCAAATTTTGTGTATTTCAGTTGTAGTAGTGTTATAAGAACATTGTAGTTACTCTCTCTCTTTTAAATTAGCTGAATCTTCCTTGATTACACATTCAAATACTGTAGTAATGCTATAATTTCACTTTTATACCCATATGTATATCTACCATCTACCATGTATATATATCTTCCCTACCATCAAGTGTTGACAGCTCTGCATCTGATTTTAATAATTGTTTTGTTTAAATAGACTGGATGTCAAAAGTTTAGAATTATTAATATTTTAAATGTTTCTAAAAGAGTCTCTTCTGCTCACCAATGCTGCATTTATTTGCTAAAAAAATCAAGTAAAAATTGTGAAATATTATTAAAAATTAAAACAGCTGTTTTCTATGTGAATGTATTGTTAAATTTAATTTATTTATGTGATTCAAAGCTGAATTTTCAGCATCATTACTCCAGCCTTCCACAAAAATTGGAAGCCGCACACATGTGTTCAACACTGATAATAATCATAAATGTTTCTTGAGCATCAGATCCTCATATTAGAGTGATTTGTGAAGGATCATGTGACACTGAAGACTGGAGTAAATTCAGCTTTATCACAGGAATAAATTACACTTTACTGTGTATTCACATAGAAAACAGATGATTTACATTAGAATCATATTTACTGTATTTTCTTTAAATAAACACAGCCTTGCTGAGACTTCTTTCAGAAACATTAAAAAGTCTTAATTATTCCACAGTGTAGATAAAATGACTAAATTAAAAAGGTCATTCTGTTGTGTTTATGTGATTAATAAATGTTTCATATTACAACAGACATCTAATATAAGCTCAATAGCAGATCAGATCAGTTTGATGTTGTTAATATTTTCCACTTGTGAAAATGTTGCGCTACACTAAAAACAATTGTAATTCTGTAATTATTGAGCAGCATCACACCAATGCTTTAGTCCTGAAAAGAGCGTGCAGTAATCCTCTTACATCAGATAAAAAGAGAAATCTGACTTAACAACTGAACCGAACTTTCCTCTGACTGCGCTTATTCACTCCCGACTAATCAGCACAAGATGTGTTTCTGGCTTAACAAAGCATTTATTAGAGCAAATCGCCTCACACGTGGAGTTATCACTCTTTCAGGAGCAGACGTGGCACAGACAGACCTTCATGGAAAATCCTGCTCACACATCAATCTAATCTAATCTGAGATTTCTTTGTCCAAGGAAGAAGCTCTCATGTCTGGTGTTTTAATCATTGGAATTCATAAAGACGCCCGCTCCCATGTGCTTCACCTTTCCAGAAACAAACGCTACACGCTCACTCCAGAGAAGCTAAAGTGGGACAAGTTCAAGCTGACCTACAAGTAAGACTCGTCTTCTGTTTCATAACCAATTTACATTTTTACAATGTTTTCCCAAGTCCAGAAAAGCATCAGGACTGCAACTACGAATCAACTAACTCTCATTAGAGTTTAGCAGACTGATAAATTAGGCTTAGCTTTAGTAGAATAAGTTGACATGTACAGGTGAAACTCCTGCAAAAGTTCATTTATTTCAGTAATTCAACTTAAAAGGTGTATATTATATAGACTCATTACATGCAAAGTGAGATATTTCAAGCCTTTATTTGTTATAATTGTGATGATTATGGCTTACAGATATGAAAACCTTTTCACAATATTCTAATTTTGAATTTGGGGTTTTCATATCTCTAAGCCATAATCATCAAAATTATAATAAATAAAGGCTTGAAATATCTCACTTCGCATGTAATGAGTCTATATAATATATTAGTTTCACCTTTTAAGTTGAATTACTGAAATAAATGAACTTTTGCACCATATTCACATTTTTCGAGTTTCACCTGTAGTTGCAAAGTTACTCATAGTCAGTAGAATGTCTAAAGTGGACTATAGAAATGTAACCAATCGATGTATATTTGGCTAACTTTGCTTAGCGTATCACGGTCCTGTTTGTGCAGACTGCTGTCGTTCCCCAGGAATCTTCTGAACGCCAGTGACACGAGGAGAGGCGTATCCAAAGCGTTCTCCATGTGGAGTGACGTCTCGCCCTTCAGTTTCCGGGAAGTCCCTTCCGATCAAGAGGCGGACATCCAGATCGGTACATCACACACACTCATACGCTCGGCTGTTGCGTTCGGTCATTTTAGACCAAAACATTGAACGTTTTGTTTTTTTAGAATATTTTATTTAATCGGAATGGTACGAAATTTGGTAAAGGTTTTGGCACTTGCTGTACACACACACACACACACCACACACACACACACACGCACACGCGCACGCGCACGCGCACGCGCACGCGCACGCGCACACGCACACGCACACGCACACGCACACACACACGCACACACACACACACACACACACACACACACACACACACACACACACACACACAAATCATGGTCATGATTCGAAAAGGTAAAATGGCCCTAAAAAAATATAGTCACACTTGTATAGTTCGCAGTCAAAAATGTCAAACGAATGTGATGCGAATTAAACTTCTCACTTATTTTTAGTTATTAGTTATAGTGAGTTATTTTTCACTTAATAATAATGATAATAAATCTGCCAAGTGTCTCCTTTACTGTAAAAAGAGACCAAACTTAAGTCTGTTGCTCCAAAGCATTCAAAATGTACAAGTTTTCAGGTCTATGCTCAAAAAGTAATTAACAAATGGATCATAACTATTCCATAAATGTAACTTTGTACCATCAAATTCCCTATAAATAGTTATTTAATAAAAAACATTATCAAACTAAAATATAGTACATTAATTTCATTGAAATAAAAAATATGCTCATTAGCACCACAGGGTTAAAGTTACACATAATGATCCGCGTTTGCCAATAAAATATAATAAGACCAACACCAGATTAATCCTAGCCAGAATGAGTCTGCTCAATAGGGCTGTGATTATGAGGCGTGTCTTAACCGAACCAGGAAAAAAAAAAACTCTGCACTCAATTGGATAGACCTACAACCAATCAGAGCAGCGTATAGTTGCTTAGCATAGTTGTCAACAGAACTCAACTGCACGCACGCTGGAAGAAGTAGTAAAATAACGAGTGTTGCTTCTTTTACTTGGTCCTCCATGAGTGCGACCAAAGGAGAAACCACAGCGACCACAGGGCTTTCAGTGCGCCCCATCTTCTTAGCGACCATCGGAGCCAGCTGATAAATTAAACTTTTGCTGAATCCCGTAGGAAGGACGGCAAACACATCTTTCCGATCGACAAATGCCTTGATTTCAGTTCTCTGTTCGTCTTTTAAAATGAATGCGCTGTTGAGCGGGATCTCTACATCTCAGTTCTCCAGCTTCATCTCTGAGGGAAACCAGTTCAACACAAGCGCTCTTTGATAACGTGATGATTACGCAACTGCAGATCATCTGTCCATCATCGTATAAAGCCCGCCCTGGCAATTTGATTGGCCCGACGATTTCTGAACCGATCATAATTACTCCTCAATGGATCGAGTCCAGACCGAACTTCCCGACCAAAAAATGTTGTGGGCGGGGTTCGGGCTGGCATCCAGGCTAGATTAATCCTCTATTACATAATCATCATGAATAACGATCAGCATTTGTGATGTGGTTAAACTGAGAACAAACGTTTTCCACTGGGGCTAACTCTGAGATGCATTATTCATGGCAGCTCAAACACATCTGCAATATCTGCTCTGCTCTGATGCGTATGGAATGGGATCTTTGGATCACATCGGTTGGTTGTCTGTCTGCAGGTTTCTACTCCGTAAACCACACCGACTGCCTGCAGTCCTACCTACACCACTGCTTCGACGGCATCACCGGGGAACTGGCCCACGCCTTCTTCCCTCAGACCGGAGAGATCCACTTCGATGATGACGAGTACTGGATTCTGGGAAACATGCGCTTCAGCTGGAACAAAGGCAGGTGTTGTTTTTACACACTAATACGTGTGCGATAGTTTCGTCCTTCCGTCCACACTGAGACTGTAGACGTAGCCTAAGTGTGAACTAAGAAAATTAGAATCTGATTATTTACTTCCCTGGAGAAAGAGTTCAGAAATGGTTGCTTCCTGGGTGTTATGATGTTCATTGTGCCAAAAGAAATGAGATGGTCCTCACTGCGGAACATGAAATCCACGGGGAGGAGTCGGATCCAGATCCGACTCCTCCCACCTTACATACACCTAAACCTACCCAACTCCGCCCCCTGATCCCTAAACCCACCCCTAATCCCTAAACCCAACCCTAATCCTACCCATCTCCACCCCTTGGATCTTGATCCGACTCCTCCCCGTGGATCTCATGTACTGCATTGAGGTGCTACTGAAAGAAATAGAGATATCATTAAATTGACCAAACAAAACATATCAAAACCCCTACTTAACCTGCAAGTGCCTTGTTTTCAGTTTGAAATAATAAAAGCTAAGAAGCAAAATTTCCCAGTTGAATTCTCCAGTTATTAATTTCTTTAGCCTCTGAAACAGGGTTGAGTTGAAGCATTTTGTCGATCATAAAGCCACAGTTGTATAATCAACACCAAGTATGTTTTGGTTGGCTTTTAGTATTTTAGGAAATGTGTCAAATCGTGCCTGGCGAGAATATTTTGATATGATTTTCTACTGGAAAAATAAGACCTGAATTCTGAATTTCTAGAAGGCAAGTAATAAAGCGTCTCAGCTGGCAAACTTTTACACGCGCATGACAGGCGTTTGTTCATGTTCATGGGAAGGAAAAAAGGCGATTTGAACGTGTTTCTGTGTGTGATTGTCGTTGTATCCAGGAGTGTGGCTGACAGATCTAGTTCACGTGGCGGCCCATGAGATCGGTCATGTACTGGGATTGATGCATTCCCAGAATACCAAAGCTCTAATGCACCTCAATGCCACACTGACGGGCCGCAAACTAATTACTCAAGATGAGGTCTGGGGCTTACATCGACTCTATGGTATTTTACACATAAGCTCAAATAAACATTCAAAATATGTCAAATCTGTATTACTTATTACCTTTCTACAATTACCTGACACCTTTAATTTGCTGTTGTTCTGTCCATGCCACTGCAGGGTGTTTGGATCGATTATTTATCTGTCCTTCTTGGGCAAGGAAGGGTTATTGTGACAGCAAGAGGAGGCTCATGCAGAAACACTGTCCGTCCAGCTGTGACTTCTGTTACGGTAAGAGGCCTGTTACTTAGACCAGGGATCACCTAAAAAATTAATTGTGTATAGAAAAACCACGAGACACATTAGATCTAAACTACATAAAGTTTGGTCCTCATCGGAGCTTATTCCGGCCACTTAGACAGAAAGAGACCATCTCAAATACACGTACTGCAAATAACCACAGTTCGTTTGGCTTTTGCATGTCTTTTAGAGGCACGTTTATTTGAAATATATTACACCACAGGTGTCAGAAGATGTATTCAAAGAAAGGTGCAGAAGTCTCTGCAAACTATTCCACCGAAAACAGAAAATGCACTGAACGTGGGCCTAAACTTGTAATGCTAGGCAATGAGATCGATTTTTTTAACAAACAAGTTAGTAAAGAAAGAGTGGTGCTGGAACAAGTTTGTGTGACAGATGTTCTAGGTAGGAATCAAACCTTGGACTTCCAGATTGCGTGGTGCTTAAAGATTCAAGGGTACTCATCATTCCCAGAAATGGCTGACAAACAAAGTACGTTCAAGAGAAAACAAGTGAAAGCAATCATCATGATTTGCAGCTAAATCCTAAGAACTTAGAGATGTCTACTGGCTGAGAGGGTCCGTTTAGCCAGGAGCCCCTCCCATAAGAACAGTTCCTGACGTTCCTGGAGCTATCCCAGATGTTTCCACCAAACTTACCCGGAACAATTTGTCCCAGGAACTTTTTCCCCCAGACCTGTTGCTGTCTGCGTTTCCACCGCGGTCTACAGTGCCGTGAAGACTAGGCTAATTAGTCCGGTGACGCAGGACCGCGCGCTACTTTACATTTCATCCTCTGAATTTAAGCTTAATTAAGCCTGAACCTCGTCGTCGGTTCATCTGTCGTATTTTTTTTAACTCCATTGTTGATTCGAATAGTAAACAACTGTTACTTCACGCACCGCAACAGACGGTGGTTGAAATAAAATGCTGCGTGGAGTCAACCAATCAAAATGCGGCATGAACTCAATCAATCTGCATGTTCTGCGCCCACGTCCCGCCCCTGAAAGTTCCTGAACTTTGAAAAAGTACTACCTCACAAACAGAGACTTTCTGAGGGGGAAATATTTACCCGGAACTACATTTAGACCCTGATTCCTGTACCGAGTACCACCCCAAAATCTCTAGTTCCTAGGGAAAGTTCCTGTGGTGGAAACACGGCTATAGTGTCTGCCCAGATCCGGCCCACATCTGGTGCGCGTGGAATCATGTACCAGATGTGGGCTAACACTATGTTGCTGTCTGGGATGGAGAGGGTAGTGGTGTTGGAAGTCGCTGATAAGACATGGATCCAGAATATCCTGAGCCAGCACCCAAAAGCTTTCCCAATCCACCAGATACTGGGCATTTTCACAGACCAGTCGGACGTCCAGCAGCCAGTGAAGAGTGTATGCTGGTTGACTGCCGATGATGTGTGGCACAGTGAGGAGCTACAGTAGTGACTGAAGAGAGAGAACAACAGACATCAGACTTTTAGTGTGAGATGTGAAAGGGGACAGCAAGAGCCAGAAAGTGTCACAGTTAGACAAGGACTCAAAAGCGAAAGCTGGTTACAGAGATTTATTGAATAGCAGATAAATGATCAAATAGGCTGTCTGCCGGTCACCGGCCGTTTAGGTGGACGCAGAACAGGAGAATGAAACTCAAAAGGACTAGGCTGCAACCAGGCGGGGTGAAAGGCACAGGTAGTAGCCGTCAGAAAGTGCGCACTGGAAACAGGTGGTACCTCTCGTCTGATACACACACAGGACGGAACAGGACAAGATTAAGAAGAGGTAAATCACAACGATGAGGCGTCTGTAACAGGCATGAATGAACAAACAATAAACCAACAAAGAGGCGAGAAGATCTAAATAGAAAGAAGATCAGGGCAAAGGGGGAACAGGTGTGAGATGATGAGCGAGGGCCCGAACGCTGATTGAGATAGCGAACAGCTCGGCGAGAGCGCACGTGCAGAAGAGGGAGAAGGAAAACAAGCTGAGGAATCAAACTTGACCCCTGACAGTAAGAAACAGGGTTAATCTTTCGGTGGATCTTGAAGGGACCAATGAAACGCGGGGCCAGTTTCTGAAACTCAATAGGAAGAGGGAGATGCCTTGCTGAGAACCAAACCTTCTGGCCAGGACAGAGTAGCGGTCCAGATCTGCGGTGCTGATTAGACTTTTTCTGTTGCTGTTCAATTGGGCTGCCCAAGCCCTCCTTCAGGAACCCAAACTAGCACAAGGGGACACACTTAAAGAGGAATGGTATAAGGTGTTAGCGAACTCTTCCCTAATCAGATGTGAGCTCTAAGAAGAGTGGTTGTTACAGACCAAGCATCTTAGGGTCTTCTCCTGGTTAACCCTCCCTGTTTGATCATTAGATTGAGGGTGAAAAACGAAGACAGGCTGATGGATACTCCAATGATACAACTAAAAGCCCTGCAAAACAGGAAAGTGCCCTGGGAGATGCTGTGAAAGCTGTGTCACCATTCTTTAAATACCAAATTCACTGCCGAGAGCTCCTGATTTCTGATATCAAAGCTCCTTTCAGGGTGAGGTCTGAGGCATCTACATCCTCAATGAAGAGCAACTCGTATGGGTATTGTACTCAATCCCTGCTTTAGCTGAATAAATGCCTGGCCAGCCCTCACAGTTCACAGGATCTGCTTAGAGGGATTCTCAGTTAGAAGTGGTTCTGCAGTAAAGGGGTTCTGCTAGTTTCAAATGAATCATCTGTAAAAATGGGCAAAACCTAGGAAGCGTTGGGCTTGTTTGCAGGGTTTTGTCCCATGCATTGACCAGCTTAAATGGCATTACCTAGGGGCGATGAAGGCAGTCTTGTGAATGCACAAGGTATTCTGGAGATACAGTTTGGTGAAGATGGTTGCACTCTGAAGAAGTTCAAAAGCAGTAGTCATTAATAGTATTGGATATCGATTCTTTATCTTGAACCAATTGGTCCTCTTCATCCCTCTGGTAATTGATGTTGAGTGGGAGACACCCATCCTGGTTTCCTACAAAGAAGATGCCACGCCAGCTGGTTAAGGAATGAAGGAACCCACTGTTAAGGGCCTGTACTCTCCATTCCAGTTCTCTCTGGAGCAGAAAATGAACAAAGCTTTACTCGTGAACAGGTTCCAAGCAACTTAATGGCTCAGCCACAGAGTCTAGGGCAGACCTTCCTGCAGACTTCAGGTCCAACCCTTATCTCACACATCTTCCTGTTATTTCTGGTTCAGGTGTGTCTGATTAGGGTTGGCTATCCCTGGTCTATGGGGTACAAGTTACATTGCACTACATTTAAAGAGGCCAGCAACTCTTGAGAGGCAGGTGGCAACGCAGAAGTCTCAAGTAGTGGTGTGAGATAAACAGGCAATAGTTTGAGGATGGCAGAGTGACAGACAAGAAGTATAACAGTTAGAGCTCCATCTAGTCCAAGATCTAGAGGACCAATCAATCTGTTGATAATGATCAGAGGAAGCTTTGTGGAAGATGTTTGAAAATGATTGGCAAGTGCAGTCCTTAAAGTTACATCTGAATTGACGAAGGCCTTGAGATTATGATGCTCTGTCTCACGGACCTCACCTTTTTAAAGTATACTCCATTAACCGTGAGCACGGATGGATAGGCTCAACGTATGCCCACAATAACTCTGCATGCTTGAATAAGCATTTGAGATCATAAATGGGCATTTTGTGATATTTGATTTCATCATCCTTTTAAGCCTGCCAGAAGATGCAGATTCAAATGTGAAGCCTTTGGTATATTAGATGCATGGAGACTTTGCACCACACATTTTCTGATTCCCCAGCCTACTTAAAACTGTCAGCATTTTTTCACTGCAGCACCACTCCCAATCCTAAGATTTAGTAGATTAATGAATAGATGTTTGGAGTCCACAGTGGAGAGGGAGCGAGGCCACCTTCAACACTGGGAGTGTACAAGAGAACAATTTCACTGCTAGCAGCCATAATTCATTGAGGTTCTGGATGAATAATAAGTACTGATTTCATTTTAACTTTTAAACAGAATTCCCATTTCCCACTGCCCCGCCAACTGCAACCCCCCCACGGACAAAACACAAGTTTGTTGTGGAGGGAAAGAACCTCACCTTCCGCTGTGGTAAGAAGATTGCAGCCAGGAAAGGCAAAATCTAGTGAGTTCTTGTTTTTTCACACACAGATTGTTATTTTAACTCTGACTGGTTTCCATATTCATGCTGTTTCTAAAAAAGCAATTTATTACACTGCCTATAAAAGCATTTGCCCCTTGGTGGTTTTTGTGTTTTATTGGTCTACAATAGTTCTTCTCAGACCTGTCCCGGGGATCCCCCACAATCACATTTTGGACGTCTCCCTAATCAGTCTTGCCGGCTCTACTAATGAGCTAATGAGTTAAATCAGGTGTGTTTGATGAGGTCCACATCCAAAGTGTGCAATGGTGAGGGTCTCCAGGACAGGTGTGAGAAGCACAGTTCTACAACATTGAAGCGGAGGATTTCATGTGGTATTTTTTGACACTGCACAGAAAATATTTCTTCATTATTTAGGACTTTGCTAAATATTTGTTTGCAGTGATATTCACCCCCTTTAAGTCAGTATTTGGAACTGTAGATGCAATTTTTACCCTTGAGTCTGTGGGTCTTTCAAAGCTGTTTTCCCCTGTTATTTTTCCTGCTGAGGCTCAAGTCGGTGTCATGGAGATCATGAGTTCTCAATTGGATTAAGATCTGGGACTGTATTGTAGGAACATCCTAACTGAATCCTATTTTAAATGTATGTGTGCATGCATCTGGAGGAAATGTTTTGTGAAAAGCTGGGCAACTCTGGCCCTCGATAGGTCCACTGTCCAGTCCTGGGTCAAACTCCTGAAGACCTTGATTAGCCTGTTCAGGTGTGTTTGTTTAAGGTTGGAGATAAACTCTGTAGGAAAATGGATCTCCAGGGCCTGACTTGCCAAGCCCTGATTTAAATATATGGCATTATTAGTGAATGAGACCCATTATCTCAGTTTTCACTCCTGGTCCTCGGGACCCATCGCTCTGCAGATTTTATGCATCTCCCGTATTTAACACGCCTGATTCAGATCATAAGCTCATTAGAAAAGTGCTCCATGAAATGAACTGTGTCAGAAAAGACATCTCTAAAGGATATAAGCTGCATTCAGTTTTCTATTGTTTCTGTAATTCAAGGATGGTGCGTGCAACGCCAGGGAATGCAATGCAAATGATTTTGGTGATTACACCAAATGTTGTCAGTTCATATATCACAATAATCTTGTGTTTTGAAAGATTATGTGAAAGGGAACATGAATCCTCTAAATTTGCACAGTTTGGAATCTGGATGTTTTTCAGCAAGAAAATGTGTTTGAATTTTTGAAGCATATTTAAGGTTTGTGTTTGTTACAAACGTCCTAACCTGAAGCATTCTCCCTCACCGACAGCTGGTATAAAGACGGCGAGCTTCTGGAATTCTCTCATCCCGGATACATTTCCCTGAAAGATGACCACATCACAATCGTGGCCAACGCCATCAACGAGGGCACTTACACCTGCGTCGTGAGGAAGAAGAACAGGGTGCTGACCACGTACTCTTGGAGGGTACGAGTGCGCTTCTGAGATAGTTCACTTCAGAATGAAAATGTCCTGATAGTTTACTCTCCTCCACGTCATCCAAGATGTTCACGTCTTTCTTTCTTCGGTGGAAAGGAAATGAAGGTTTTTGAGGAACACACTCCAGGATGTTTCTCCATATAGTGACTTCAATGGGGTCCAACGGGTCGAAGGTCCAGATGTGAGTTTCAGTGCAGCTTCAAAGTCTCGACACGATCCAGCCGAGGAATAAGAGTCTGATCTAGACAAACCAGCCGACATTTATAACAAAACACACATTTATATACTTTATAACCACAAATGCTGGTCTTGCACAAGCTGTGATGCGACACATTACTTGATCACGTTGAAAGGTCAAGCGTGTTCCGGTTAAAAAATGTAGGGAAGGGCGAAAAACTCCTTTTCTCCTCCAAATTCAAAATTGTCTGACATCTTTGTTTTACCTTTTATTTATTTAATTTTTTTGTAAATGGCGTTTGACTCAGTCTTTGCACGTTCACTTTCTAAACACTGGGTCTGTTCTTGTGCCTACGTCACGCTTGACCTTTCAACCTGATTACGTAATGTGTGTCACATCACAGCTCATGCAAGACCAGCATTTGTGGTTAAAAAGTATATAAATGTTTATTTAACTGACCAATTTGGACCTTCGACCCGTTGGACCCCATTGAAGTCACTATATGGAGAAACATCCTGGAATGTTTTCCTCAAAAGCCTTCATTTCTTTTCCGCTGAAGAAAGAAAGACAAACTTTTGGATGACGTGGGAGAGTAAATTATCAGGAAATTTTAATTAATATAAGACACGGATTATAGCCAGAACATGAGCTCGGACCAGCGTCCTCTGACCCTGATCCTGTTGTTCACCACAGGGCAGTGGAGCATCACTCACTCGGGCACATATTCATACCAGTCCATTCACATTGCTAAACGTTTTGATATCAGGGTTTTTACGTGTTGTAAATACATTTCTTATTTTGCCAAATAAAACAATTTATTCTATCAATTTGAAGCCTTTAATTGAGTCAGAAATTGTGGCTGAGTGAAAATACTTCATTGGTGCTCACTTTAAAATTACACCAAACTCATTTTAAAAATGGATATGCATTTCTGAACGTCTTTGTTTCTTCAGTACTGAAGGTCACATGAACAAAACCTGATGATTCACAATATCAGCGTGATTTGAGAGTTCATTTTAAATATGAATTTAGCTGGTTTAAGATTAGCGGTATTAGTGCACAGCTGAACACCACGAGCTCTCTCACTATATTCCACAAGCATTTTCCTTTCATAGACGAAATAATCAACAGTATGAAATATTGGTGGAGATCCAGTTTCTGGTTTCAATTCTGTTGTAATTCAAAGGGGTTCGACTCGGTCCGTTTCGGTCTTTAACGCGTGCAAGATGCCACCCATCAGCATTACAAGCGTTTATTAGCAATCTTGAAGACATGGCAGAGATTTAAAGAGTGGAAAAGCTTGTGGAAAACCAGCGGTCATGAGTGTAGACGTCTCACTCCTGAAACCCTCTACAGCTGGAAACAAACGACTGGAGACATTATATAATGAGGAGCAAGAGGGGATTTAACTCTAGACAAATGACTTGGAGATTTGCACATAACAGAATACTTTCATATTGTTCCAAACCCATAAGACACTCAGAAAACAAAAGCAGGATTTGTGAAGAATATGCAGTCTGCTTTAAAAAATACAAATAAAAAACGAGCCTAACAGAAGTAGTCTGTGTGACTGAAGTGCTGTCGAAGTCTTCTGAAAGCTGAAGACCTGAATATACATTGTTACTCAGTGGAAAACATCTGTACTGTAGCTCTCAAATCAAATATGCCAACATCTTCTCAAGACATGAAGAAGCAATGGTGTTTGGCATTCATGCAGCACTTGTGATTATCAGATTCAGATTTAGTGTTAGTGTATGGGAAAGATTATTAATGAATAAAGGCCCGTTCACACCAAGGATGATAACTGGTGATGAAAGATGAGTTTTAAGGGATAGAGTTATTGACAACAGAGGGACTTAAAGACAGACTCACTCGACGTGAAGCAGGGTGGAGGATGAAGCACACTTTACTTGCTCACTATTTCATTGATAACCTCACAGGGAAGTTTCTGTGCTCCTCAATGTTTCTCTTTGTGTGTGAGAGTGACTCGGCCTTCATTAAAGCAAAACTGCACACACACACACACACACACACAGAGCACAGAAACACATCACAAAGCAGCAGGACAGTGGAACACAAAAAAAGTTGAATGCCATGTCAAAGTACTAGCATGACTAGCATTACAGCGATAGCTGTGTGATTGAGTTGAGGTGGGGCTCATTTGCATATTCATACTAAATGAGGCAAGGGTGTCGAGTTACATTTAAGATATTTTAAGACATGAAGACATTTTTTCCAAGGAACAAACATGTAAATATGTCATTTTGGACACTTTTAGGACCGGTTCACAGAAACACATCGCAAAGCAGCAGGACGGTGGAGCACACAAAGTTGAATCTGTCGTGTCATGCGAGAGACGCTGAGGTTACACCTCGTCCGCCGGGTGTCCAGCGTGTCCGCTAACACTGGGAACTGGGAAGAGGCATTCAGTGCGAGCGGCTCCTCAGAAGAACAGCTTCTCTCAGGCGGTTCACATACAGAACCTTCCAGGGTCTCCAGGATAGGAGCGTTTATGAATTTAGTTTGAACGATTTGAACGCACACCGTCCAGCCAACCAGAATTAAGTATTCAAAAAGCCCAATGTTTTCAAAACAGTTTTATTTAATATTCATATATCACTAAAACGAGTCTTTGATCCTACTCCTCAACTACCATTGCAGATGGAGAGAAAAATAAGAGGTCTGAAAACGCTGGACAAAAGAACCAAGCAAGACAAACCAACGCATTATATTTCAGAGGAGCATGAGGAATGTGAAGCACTCGAGCTTCACGGAGGTCCTCGGCGCCGGTGAGAAGAGTGTGTGTGTGTGTGTGTGCCGGTGGAGTTCAGTGAACTGCTCTCAGAGAGTCTCAGCGTCATGACAGACGCGTTCAGAGGAACCCAGCGAGCGCACAGACGCAGATCCGGCTCAGAACTTCAGGCTGAACCCCGGACCGGCTTTGGACGCGCCCTGGTTCGCACTGGTCAAGTGGAAACCCGTGTCTTTGAGATCATCATCACCCTGAAGAGCACAGCAGAAGACAGGAGAATCAGTAACAATAACCAGCAATTACAGGAAGAAACAGACGACATGAATAGACAGTGATTTACTAAAAGTATTGTCTTGGTCAACTGTGATTCAGAACAGGTTTAAAGGGATAATTCACCCAATAATTAAAGTCGTGTCATTAATAACTCTCCCTCATGTCGTTCCAAACCTGTACGACTTTTTCATCTTCAGAACACAAATGAAGATATTTTAATGAAATCTGAGAGATTTCTGTCCCTCCATTGACAGTTACGCAACTACCACTGTGACGCATTAAAATGTTTATAAAGGGATCGTAAAACTAATCTATATGAACTGAACAGTTTAGTCCAGATCTTCTGAAGAGACTCGATCGCTTTATATGATGAACAGATGTAATTTAGGCTTTTACTAAAGTATGCTTCGAATTCCGTTCATATGTGAATAAAAGCCTAAATTACATCTGTTCATCATATAAAGCGATCGAGTCTCTTCAGCTCAAATCATATAGATTAGTTTTACGATCTCTTTGTGAACGTTTTGAAGCATCAGTGGTAGTTGCGTAACAGTCAATGGAGGGACAGAAATCTCTCAGATTTCATTAAAATATCTACATTTGTGTTCTGAAGATGAAAAAGTCGACAGCATTGCTGAGTATTTCCTGCTTAAAACTGCAGTGAACCAAAGACAGTCTCAAAAACACGGTTTGAAATCGCTGGTGTTTCTGACGTCACAAACGACCTTGTAACCAATCAGATCAACGTGTGATCGTCAACCAGTGGATCTCTGAGCTGAGTGAGTGAGTGGAGGCGGGGCTCATCTGCATATTCATAGAACCACGCATACTAAATGAGGCAAGGGTGTCGAGTTACATTCAAGATATTTTAAGGCATGAAGACTTTTAATACCGTAAAACTTCAAATAATAGCCGAGTCCCAAATAGACGCCTGTCTCATTTACACGCCTGGTGTGGCTGTAGGTCTGGGTAAAGGCCGGTCTCAAATAGAGGCCGGGTCTGTTTTTTTAGTTTCGGGTTGTATTTAATCTTCTAAAACCGTCAGATCGTTCGCTTTTTGGCGGCCGCCAAGCAAATTTTTGTCCCGCCAAAGCCTTTTTTGATCGGTGAGTGATGTAGAATAGAATGACTGCTGCGCTTGACAGGGCGCTTAACGAGCAGAGAGAGAGAGAGAGAGAGAGAGAGAGAGAGAGAGAGAGAGAGAGAGAGAGAGAGAGAGAGAGAGAGAGAGAGAGAGAGAGAGAGAGAGAGACTCTCTCTCTGAGAGAGCACGCACTCTCACGTCTTCAAACAACACGAGCGCTGTCTTGCTCTCTCTCCCTCGCACATGTAAATAAAAATGAATTGACGCAATAGTAAAGGTTGGAAGACCGCAGTTTCACGTGGAGCATTTGGAGATTTTTAGAGATTAGAGACTCTAGGCTTACACTCAATGAACAACATCTCAACGTTAAATTATAAAGGCCTGTCTCATATAGACGCCTGTCTCAAATACAAGCCGGTGCAGTTCGACGATTTGGGAAAATAAAAGCCCGGGCTACTATTTGAAGTTTTACGGTATGTCATTTTGGTGATCAAAGATGAGTTTTAAAGGTGCAGTGTGTAATATTTAGGAGGATCTGTTGACAGAAATGCAGTATCATATACATAATGTGTTCAGTGGTGTATAAAGATCTACATAATGAAGCGTTGTGTGTTTATTAGCTTAGAATGAGGCGTTTCTCTCTACACACACCGCGGGTCCGCTTACACACGTTTCTACGGTGGCCCTGAACGGACAAACGCGTTTCGTCACTATGTTGTTCTTCATGATAAGAAGCTGCTAAAGTCAGCGAATAAAACACTGACACAATGATGAACAAGTCACAATAATATTCGCAATTACATCGTTTTACTGAATAATTAAGTAAACCTAATTTCTAAATTTATCTTTATAAAGAAACCTCAGTGTTTAACTGGCGACTCTCTGCCGTCTCAGACGACGACATCACTTCCTGTCGGCCAGCATAACTTCTGTTGGGTGCAGTTCACAACCTCACCACTAGATGCTGTTAAAACTTACACACTGCACCTTTAAAGGATAAAATGATAGAGTAAGAAAGATGAGCACCATCTGGCTGAACTGTCCTCCCTCGGGCGCGCGCGGGCTGGTCCCTCGCTTCACGCGCTGCTGCTCGCTCTTGGCCGGCCAGGTGGGGAACATGGAGGGTTCGATGGGGAGCGGCGTCTCGCGCAGGTACTCGTGTTTGAGCGCCTCGTCAGCGCTGATCCGCTTCGCAGGGCAGTACGTCAGAAACCTGAGACGGTGAGAGAAAGCCCTGTAATGAAACATCACTGAACGAACTGTGACGCTATTCTCTTCTGGAAACAAACTGTGTTGCATTATTCTCCTGTTATCTCTGTAAAGCTGCTGTGAAACACTCAGTATAAATAAAGCTGACGTGACTTGATGTCAGGAGCAGCTGATGTGAACATCGCTCTATCTCACAGCAACGCTTATTTCTACCGTTAAGGTGCCGCTACACCCAACATGATCTATAAGTCATTATGTATTGTCAACACTTTTTTAAAGTAATATCACAGTGTTTATTCTAAATGATTTATCGGTGCGCATCATTATTGTTTTAATAATTTTGAATCAGAATAACTTCCTTAATACACGTTTAAAATCACAAGTTATTTGCTAACGCTGGAACTAACATGAACAATCAACAACTGTATATAACTCAACATGCTGAATTTAGGGGTAAAATCACACCCTGTATATTGTTATATACTGTATAGAACTCAATTAAATATTTACCATCTTATATTCTGCATAATTGGATGTTTTTAAATAAACACTGATAAAAAACTACACAAGGTTTAGGGCTGGAAGACATGATGATTTATATAACATTGATATGAGTGATCACATGGGATTTAGACCTATATTGTATTTATATAAATATAAGCGTTCACAGGCAAATTTGCTTTATGTATTTCCCGGCGTGGAAATCCGGCTCATATAAATGTGAGTAAAACATGATTTCTGGCGTTTTCTCAGTTTCCTCTGTTAACTCCAGACGCTCTTCTGCCAGTGACGTCAAGGCACTCCCTCTGTATAAAGTGTGACCAGTAATTGTAGTAAACACATAAACCCCTCCTCTACGCTAGTGTTGCGCTCACTTGTTCATGAGGTCGAAGCCCTGGTCGGACAGCAGCGCACCGAAGCGCTTGCGCAGGTTGTTGTAGGGATACTCTGTGAACGTCATCTTCTTCACCGCTGGAAGCTCACTGTATCCCGGCCAGATCTTCTCACTGGGGGAGCCCAGGTCCTACACACACACACACACACACACACACACGTCAGCTGTGAACACGTCCAGTCCAGCAACTCCTAAAGTAGTGCTAACTGTGACGAGGAACGTTCCTCAGCGGGCGTGACTGAGACGACACCACGGTCAGTAAACGATAACTGTGACTATTAACATGCGATATATTATTGATGGGAGAAAAAAGGACACACAATATGACAGACTGCAAGTGTTGAGTGTCACATTGTGTTGAAATCCCCCAATCAGAGCTTTTCTCTTAAAATGATACATCTCTGCCTGGTGTTACTTAAATATCTGCAATCTGGCAACCCTGCGCTCTCTACACCGCAGAAGCAGCGCCGAGGAAGTGAAGATCTCCACTGATGAACTAATAAATCAAAACATGAATCTCGACTATATTGTGGTTGCTGAATAAATGTACTTATGCAACCTCTGTGTGATGACACACTGTTTTTTGCTGATGTTGTAATGGCAGGACTACAAACGCGGCTTTCACTTTGAAAGATCATTTACATGCACAAACAACTCAATTTCAGGCAAAAAAAAAAGAAGCACAATAGGAGGTGCCCTATAAAGAGTGAGGCGTTTTCGAAAGTGCCTCTTGTGCTGGGTCTCATCGAGTACTTCTGTGACATGCTAACACTGAAAGAAGAGGACATCTATGGCTTTGAGAAGCTGACATGCCAGTATTGGCACTTATAATCCCATCAAACAACTGGGCAATCATTATTAGACAGACCGGTTAAGCAGAGATAGTGAACTAATGCAGACGGAGAATGTTCCCGCACTTTCAAAATAAAAGTCCTGCTTCCAACTCATCAAGCAAGCAGAAAAACATATCGCATATGCTTATAATAAAAAAAGCCACATATCAACCTTGATATTATATAATAGATATAACGCCCCCTAGTCAAAACCACAGTCTTCTTAGACATTAACAGGCATTATCCAGCTAAACTCATTACTCCAACTCTAATTACTTCACTCGTGGGATCAAGCATTCAAAGACTGACGTTTATTAATTTCCTCTTGCCATTTTTTTACTTGCCAAAAGTATTGCACCGTCTGGGCACCCATCCAAATCCCATTCCGGACCGCACTAATCCTAATCCTAATCCGGGATACTGTACACAACAGACAGCATTTACAACGGGATTCGGCAGTTTTGTGTTTGAGCTACATTGGAAAGCCGATAACCGATATATTGGCCAATGAATCTGAATCCAAATTTGTATATACTTTGAGAGCCTGGTTACAAAATCAAAAGTCTCACAGTGAAAGCCACGTCTTAAACACACAATTATGATGTTGTCATGACAGGCTTGGGCTGCACATGTTGCACTGAACTGGATTTTCCTTTTTTGAAGTGATTCCAATCATATTTAAGCAATTCAACACCATCATGATGACCAGTGCGCATCTGAAGCGTCTCAGCTGAAGGAAATAATACACTATTCATCAGCTTTAATATATCCGACAGATTTTCTTATCAGGCCGATAACGATAACTTTAATAATGAACATATATCAGCCGATACCGATATGGTGGCCGATACATCGTGCATCCCGAATTCTGATGTAAAAATAAGTGTTTATTTATCACGATTAATCTGTAAATATCTGCATTATTGCGGCCACCAAGCGCTGGTAATAGTCATCAGCCACCGGTGTGTGTTTGCAAACAAATCTTCCTATGATAGAGGACTCACCCGGTCCCTCCTAACAAACTATGTAAAAAAAATAAAATAAATTCATGCACATGATTATCAGCAACATTATAGTTTGAATGTCCTCAGCAACCGCAGATCAACATTTCTTTTTTTTTTGCAATGTCTATTTATTAGTGCTGTCAAACGATTAAAATATTTAATCGCACATTTTTATCTATTCTAAATGTCTCTTGATTTCTTTTTGTCCCATTATTTTTTCTCATTTTAATGCTCTTATCCACATGGAAAAGTGGATCGGCTTGCTTTGTGCAAATGTTTTTTATTGAAAACAACATTGGCATATAGACCAATTTTCAGTTGGTAAACATGGTGACGTTTTTATGTGGGCGGAGCTTAAGTGGTGGCAGAACGATCCCTCTGGCCGCTTCACTAACGTAAAGTCTGCAAGTTTTGTTAGCTTGTTTTTAACAATGACTGGAGAAAATCCGATTTTATCTTAATGTGCAAGGTCACTCACTGTCCAGGACCGCGATTGTTATTTGCAAAAGTTAATTTTAACGGACGGAACCGGCCGACCCGTACACTCATTGAGGATCTGACAGGATTAACGTTAACGCTACCTCCGGTTGAGTGGCCTGACTTCTACACCTACCTGATAGAGAAACGGAGGGCATGTAAATCTTTAGATGCCTATAATAACTATGTGCTGAATGGTGATGTGCAAGACTTGTGTGTACGATCCGCAGTTCTGCCGAGCCAGCGCCATGAAGACGACAATGTAAAGAGTGACATTACGGTGCAATTTTAATAATGTGAATATTTTCTAGAAATAAAAAATTGCAGATAAAGCATATTCATGTTTCATTGATTCTTGCACCCAACAACACTACAAGATGACATTTAATAATAATAAGAATAATTTAAGATCCTTATTTTGTAGCCGAATCTGTGCTGGTTTGTATTCACCGCCTCCAGTTTTCCCTTTGTTCTGCCACCAGCTAGCGCTGTGACGTAACTGTGACGTCGGCTGGAAATTGGTCTATACTGTGTTCAATTTCACACTAACATTCTCACTTGGAGCAAATAATCTCTCACACAATGTAACACTGTCCATCAATAAAAGGGTGAAATAAATACTGACGAGGTCCTGATATTGACGAGGGGGTGGAGAATTCGCATCAGCTGTGTGTGTGTGTGTGTGTGTGTGTGTGTGCTTGGCCATCATCAAGTGGTATTTCAGACTGGACGTGCTGCGATGACGATAGCTCAGTTCACAACGACAAAACACACAGATCACTTTGGTCTCGTCAATGGAACCATTTGGCAACTTTTTAAAAGTAAACTTTCCATTCAGAATCTTATTGGCATCCATTTCGGCGTCTCGCGCTCGTCATCCACTCAAAACTGGACGTTTTGAACGTTCCTATAACATTCAGAAATAACGTTTCTAAAACTTAATGGGAACGTTATGAAAACGTTATTATAACCTAAAATTGTTAGCTGGGGAAGAGGAGAGATTCGCAATTGCACTGAACACGTTTTAAGTGCAGGCACATATTGTCTGAGCGAGCCCAGAGAAAATTCTTACAAGAGCAGCGTGTATCTGAGCGAGAGATTCGCGCTCGCGCATCCGGCTCGCAAGCCCAAACAAGTGTGTGCGGCGTGCCTGTTGTTTTGTTTCCGGTCTAGCTAGATCCGCTTGCGCTTTCAAAACGTCCTCGCGCGGCGCAAGCCATTGAAATGAATGGGTTTCATAGCGCAGCGGCGTCCTGTTGCAAAAGCATGTGAAAAAAAAACTACAAAGTTTGCTAGGCCAAAAAGACCGTTAATCGCGCGATAAAAAAAATGAACGCCGTTAAAATGGGTTTGCGTTAACGACGTTAATAACGCGTTTAACTGACAGCCCTACTATTTATGTGTTCACACTTCTGTGTTATGCGTGATGAATGGTACAGTCTGTGGAAATAAATATCTATCGAGGACAATAAATAATGGATATGAATATCAACACTGATGGGTATAGTGTTATCAAAGATCACTGGTTTAATTAACTGAACACATTCAGGAAGTGATGAAACATACCTTGAAGATTTTGTTAATTTGATCGATCTCGGATTTGCCAGGGAATAGAGGCTTCTGTGTGAGCAGCTCCCCGAATATGCAGCCCACCGACCACATGTCCACGGCCGTGGAGTACTCCTGTCAGGAGGAACACTAATGATCAGTTACACAGCAGAGCGAGAGCGAACGTCCACCATCAACACCTCAACTCCAATACTGGTGTTTCACACGTGAGGTTGTTGAAGAGGAGACGAAAGAAACATCGGTTGCATCATTTATCCTTACGAAACATTCCAGTACAAAAACAATAGAGCTGTGCAACGATTAATGCATCCAAAATAAAAGTCTGTGTTTGCATAATGTGTGTGTGTGTACTGTGTATAATTATTTGGTATAAATACACACACACATGCATGTATATAATTAAGAAAACTGTGTTATTTATATATAAAATATTTATAATATAAATTATATATCAATATATATACATACATTAAGGGTTAAAATATGTAAATATTTCTGAAATATATACAAGCATGCCTGTGTATTTATATATACAAAATAATTATACACCGTACACACACATATATATTTTGGATGCGATTAATCGTTGCCCAGCTCTAAAAAACAATACATTTGACATTTACAAAAAAATATTCACATATATAAAATTTACATTTATTATTATTTACTTCTCATTACAAAATATATACTATATAGCAAATCTGATTGTTTATATCTTTTCAAAATGCAAACTGTATAAGGCATGAACATATTAGGATCATGATTTTATGTAAAGCTGTATATGTGTACACATACATTTGACTCTATTTGCTTTGAGGATTTGTCTTCGTTATATGTAACGGCTTCATGTATTAATCACTTTTTTATTGTCAATATGTGAACAGCTTTTAATGAAACTTTAGTTTATCTATAAAAGGCTGTAGCCTGATTTTTATGTGACGGACTCTGTGGTTTTTGTCAGGGACAATACATTTTACTGTGTAAGCTACAGAAATATTGTTTAAAAAGTCATCACTTTATCCAGAAGCTCATGACAGGTCGGTCTTAAAGGCTTATATATTTGTGTTTACTGAGAAAAATATGGTTGGATCCCAATTCTTGCTCTCTGTACACACATTAAAGTGTATTTAGTGATTATGTTTGGGGCGTCCTGATCTCTGGCTCTGTCCTGCAGGTGTGTGTGTGTGTGTGTGTGTGATGATGTCATCGACTGACCTTTGCCCCCAGCAGCAGGTCAGGTGACCGGTACCACAGCGTGACCACCACAGGTGTGTAGGGCTTGAGCGGGGAGCCGTACTCTCGTGCCAGACCAAAGTCTCCAATCTACAACACACATTCACATCTTAGACGATATTATAAATAACACATTAAAATGATATATGCAAACAAGTGATGATGTGTAACGAGCAGGGCCGGGCATTGACACAAACTTCACGATTCAATTCCAATCTCGATTCGATAGATTCATCTGGATACACACTGCCATTCAAAAGTTTGGTACTTCTTCTGCTCACCAAGGCTGCATTTATTTGATTAAAAATACCAAAAAGTAATATTTTGAAGTATTATTCTAATGTAAATCTGTTTTCTATGTGAATATATATTAAAGTGTAATTTATTCCTGTGATAAAGCTGTATTTTCAGCATCATTACTCCAGTCTTCAGTGTCACATGATCCTTCAGAAATCACTCTAATATGAGGATCTGATGATCAAGAAACATTTATGATTATTATCAGTGTTGAAGACAGGTGTGTAGACTTTTATTTCAGGATTCTTTGATGAATAGAAAGTTCAAAAGAACTGCATTTATCTGAAATATAATCTTTTGTAACATTATAAATGTCTTTACTGTCACTTGCTGAATAAATGTTTATTTTTTATTCTATTCTATTTCTATTCATCAAAAGAATCCTAAAAAAAACGTGTACACAACTGTCTTCAACACTGATAATAATAATTAATATTAATATTACTTTTTTGTATTTTTAATCAAATAAACACAGTCTTGGTGAGAAGAAGAGACTTATTTATTTAAAAACATTAAAAATCTTACCGATGCCAAACGTTTGAACGGTTCAACAGCGATCTGTGTGTCAGCACACATTAAAGACACACACACTTTGTTTCATATCAAAAGTGTCAAAGGTTATTGTGATTATTGGATGGCAGGAGCTACGAATAGTGTTTAGGGAAGATAGTTCTCGCATCGACTGACTAAAACATCGAACTGGGGATTTAGGAATCAATATCAGTTGATTTAATCAAAAATATCAAAAATGTATATGTTTAGCCCAGCCCTGGTAACGGATGAATCCAGCTGATAGGCTCAGAGCAAATCAAACCTTCCCATCTTAGGAAAATGCATTATTTCTTATCATTAATCTGAATAAAACAATGGATAAAACAATTTCCATGAGAGTTGTGTTGAGGCCAGTGTGACCTTGAGGATGCCCTTGTGGCTGAGCAGCAGGTTCGAGGTCTTCAGGTCGCGGTGCAGGATCCAGTTATCATGCAGGTGCCGAACGCCCCTGAGCAGCTGGATCATCAGGGTCTTGACCTCGCCTCCACGGGACACACACACAGCACAGGTCAAGCTCCGCATCCAGACACCACATCATCATCCCTGAGGCTAGTGCTGGGCGGCATCACCAAACATTTACATCTCAGTATACACTCACCTAAAGAATTATTAGGAACACCTGTTCAATTTCTCATTAATGCAATTTTCTAATCAACCAATCACATGGCAGTTGCTTCAATGCATTTAGGGGTGTGGTCCTGGTCAAGACAATCTCCTGAACTCCAAACTGAATGTCAGAATGGGAAAGAAAGGTGATTTAAGCAATTTTGAGCGTGGCATGGTTGTTGGTGCCAGACGGGCCGGTCTGAGTATTTCACAATCTGCTCAGTTACTGGGATTTTCACGCACAACCATTTCTAGGGTTTACAAAGAATGGTGTGAAAAGGGAAAAACATCCAGTATGCGGCAGTCCTGTGGGCGAAAATGCCTTGTTGATGCTAGAGGTCAGAGGAGAATGGGCCGACTGATTCAAGCTGATAGAAGAGCAACTTTGACTGAAATAACCACTCGTTACAACCGAGGTATGCAGCAAAGCATTTGTGAAGCCACAACACGCACAACCTTGAGGCGGATGGGCTACAACAGCAGAAGACCCCACCGGGTACCACTCATCTCCACTACAAATAGGAAAAAGAGGCTACAATTTGCAAGAGCTCACCAAAATTGAACAGTTGAAGACTGGAGAAATGTTGCCTGGTCTGATGAGTCTCGATTTCTGTTGAGACATTCAGATGGTAGAGTCAGAATTTGGCGTAAAGAGAATGAGAACATGGATCCATCATGCCTTGTTACCACTGTGCAGGCTGGTGGTGGTGGTGTAATGGTGTGGGGGATGTTTTCTTGGCACACTTTAGGCCCCTTAGTGCCAATTGGGCATCGTTTAAATGCCACGGCCTACCTGAGCATTGTTTCTGACCATGTCCATCCCTTTATGGCCACCATGTACCCATCCTCTGATGGCTACTTCCAGCAGGATAATGCACCATGTCACAAAGCTCGAATCATTTCAAATTGGTTTCTTGAACATGACAATGAGTTCACTGTACTAAAATGGCCCCCACAGTCACCAGATCTCAACCCAATAGAGCATCTTTGGGATGTGGTGGAACGGGAGCTTCGTGCCCTGGATGTGAATCCCACAAATCTCCATCAACTGCAAGATGCTATCCTATCAAAATGGGCCAACATTTCTAAAGAATGCTTTCAGCACCTTGTTGAATCAATGCCACGTAGAATTAAGGCAGTTCTGAAGGCGAAAGGGGGTCAAACACAGTATTAGTATGGTGTTCCTAATAATCCTTTAGGTGAGTGTATGACGGTATCATTATTTTCGAAGCATGATTGGTGTTAACCACAGTTTCTACTGAGTGAGAGAGGAAATCCTGCAGTAGATTGACTTAAAATGCCCTGTTTTACTGTCATGAGTGAATATTGTAGAACAAATCCACACTAGTGTTAATACAGGTTTCCAGTGTTTACAAATAGGTGCGCGGTAGGAGCGGCAGTTTCATTACAAAACTTTATCAGATAAGATAATGAAAGATTCAATTGAAATCACTTCAGATACACTCATATAAAAACACCCGCGCGCGTTTGACTGACACGTGCAGTGCTCATGTTTATGTCGATGTCAAATCCGACCACTAATAGATTTATATAGAAGGCTGTGTTGATATTGTGAACCATTGAATGGGAAACACGAATATAATCTGACAGCGATCCGCTATAGTGTAACCTTTTCATCTTCCCCGTCTCAGTATCACACACATCTGAGCATCACCAGTGAACAGGGACACACGTTCGGTTTGAACCGGTATACCGCCCAGCACTAACTAAGGGTAAGGTCAAAGGTCAAAGGTCATACCAGGCAGGAAGGGCTGTTTCATGGTCTCCATGAGACTCTTCAGGTCATGCTCAACATAATTCATCACAATGTAGATTTTGTCCATATTACTGCCGACGACGATCTCCTGTAAGAGAAGCACACACGAGAGATTCAGACACACACGGACCACACTGAACAATCAACCCAGCTTATTAATATCAGCGTCCATAATCATCACTGACAACCCAGTTTATTAATATCAGCGTCCATAATCATCACTGACAACCCAGCTTATTAATATCAGCGTCCATAATCATCACTGACAACCCAGTTTATTAATATCAGCGTCCATAATCATCACTAACAACCCAGTTTATTAATATCAGCGTCCATAATCATTACTGACAACCCAGCTTATTAATATCAGCGTCCATAATCATCACTGACAACCCAGTTTATTAATATCAGCGTCCATAATCATCACTGACAACCCAGTTTATTAATATCAGCGTCCATAATCATCACTGACAACCCAGCTTATTAATATCAGCGTCCATAATCATCACTGACAACCCAGTTTATTAATATCAGCGTCCATAATCATCACTGACAACCCAGCTTATTAATATCAGCGTCCATAATCATCACTGACAACCCAGTTTATTAATATCAGCGTCCATAATCATCACTGACAACCCAGTTTATTAATATCAGCGTCCATAATCATTACTGACAACCCAGCTTATTAATATCAGCGTCCATAATCATCACTGACAACCCAGTTTATTAATATCAGCGTCCATAATCATCACTGACAACCCAGTTTATTAATATCAGCGTCCATAATCATCACTGACAACCCAGCTTATTAATATCAGCGTCCATAATCATCACTGACAACCCAGCTTATTAATATCAGCGTCCATAATCATCACTGACAACCCAGTTTATTAATATCAGCGTCCATAATCATCACTAACAACCCAGTTTATTAATATCAGCGTCCATAATCATCACTGACAACAAAGCTTATTAATATCAGCGTCCATAAACAATCATCACTGACAACCCAGTTTATTAATATCAGCGTCCATAATCATCACTAACAACCCAGTTTATTAATATCAGCGTCCATAATCATCACTGACAACCCAGCTTATTAATATCAGCGTCCATAATCATCACTGACAACCCAGTTTATTAATATCAGCGTCCATAATCATCACTAACAACCCAGTTTATTAATATCAGCGTCCATAATCATCACTGACAACAAAGCTTATTAATATCAGCGTCCATAAACAATCATCACTGACAACCCAGTTTATTAATATCAGCGTCCATAATCATCATTGACAACCAGCTTATTAATATCAAATCGGTTAAATAGCTGGTACCAGGAGACACAATAAGGTCTGAGTAAATGATTTAACTTAAAAGAACTGACAGTGAGAAATATATTTGTTAGATATATAATTGTTATAACATTTAATAATCTTTGTCAATGTTAGTGAATAGTTTCTCTAGGGTTTTCTGACCCGGGCCAATGAATCACACTGAGCTTTTCATGCTCAATCACCACTAACAATCCAGTTTATTAATATTATTGTACAAAAATAGGATTAATAGCTGGTACGAATATTTAAGGTCTCATTTGTTAAAATGAGTTACTGTATAAACTAAAATGACCAGATAGTGAGCAATATATATTTTAAAACATTAAATAATGTTTGTCAATGTTATTCAATAAGTGAATAGTGGCTTCTCATAGCAGAGATATCATATTTCAGATATCTAGTCTTGATATATATATATATATATATATGGGTTTACATATATCCTCTATTCTTACTAGAGGGTTTGTTTAATGAGGCTTAATATATGTAAGGTATATTCAAGAGTAAATATGGAAGGCATATTGTTTGAACAATCTTTAATTTTCTTTTTTCAGATAGATTTTTGGATTGATAATTATTGTTGCATACTTCCTTTTTTCTTTCTCTTTCGCGTTTCATTGCCCTTGAACGGACACATGCACACAAACTTATGTCAAGATACTCATCTAAATGCCCATCTCGGCAATATTCTCTCGGTTATGTCATAAATGAACAAAAGAGAAACAAAATTGAGAAAGAAACCGGATGATTGTCAGTTTATTCGGTTTTAAAGTGACGGCAGCCTAATATTCCTGCTGTCGTCTGTGTCATTAATCTTCATAAAACAACAAAATACAGCTTTAATAAAGATGAAACTATATTTAATTTCTACTGTGAACAAATAGTGTTATTACATTTAGGCGGAATTATTAATTTCTGTTCCTCAATACTGCTAGAGTTTGTAAATTTGTTATTTAGTGTTCATCTCTGCTTGTTATTAGAGCATTTGTTCTTATTTTATTACCGACTGTTCACTTGTTTTTAATAATGTGTGAACTTTATCAGTTAGGCTTGTAGTGTTTGATGTGGTATCAAAGAACTTTAAGTGAGCTTTAAAAAGTAAATGAAAAGCGAAGTTACCCCCTCCCTCCCTATATATATGTATATTTTTTCTTTTTTTTGCTGATCCGAAAAATGATCCGATCCGTGGCTCAAAACACGTAAATGACCCGAACCGTGAATTTTGTGATTCGTTCCACCACTATTGAAAATTAAAAAACACATAAATAATTTACTTTTTTAAAACAGTAGTGAAAAGCATGTGTGTGTGTCTGACCCTGACGGTGACGATGTTGGGGTGCTGGGCCTTCAGGATGGTGTTGATCTCCCGCAGAGAGGTGATGGGGAAGCCCTCCTTCTCCTTCTCCATCTTCAGCCGCTTCAGGGCCACGATCTCATCCGTCTTCTTGTCTTTCGCCCGATACACCACTCCATACGTGCCCTCCTCGATGCGGTTCAAGCACTGGAACTCCTCCACGCTCCGACAGCCCTGAGCACAGACAGCAGAGAGTGTGTGTGAGAGTGTGTGTGTGTGTGTGTGTGTGCGTGCACGTGTGTGAGTATGTGTGTGAGTGAGAGAGAGTGTGTGTGTGAGAGAGAGTGTGCCCTCCTCAATGCAGTTCAAGCACTGGAACTCCTCTACGCTCCGACAGCCCTGAGCACAGACAGCAGAGAGAGAGTGTGTGTGTGTGTGTGTGTGTGTGTGAGAGCCCTCCTCGATGCGGTTCAAGCACTGGAACTCCTCTACGCTCCGACAGCCCTGAGCACATACAGCAGAGTGTGTGTGAGAGTGTGTGTGTGTGTGTGTGTGTGTGTGCGTGAGAGAGTGTGTCTTCCTCGATGCGGTTCAAGCACTGGAACTCCTCTACGCTCCGACAGCCCTGAGCACAGACAGCAGAGTGTGTGTGAGAGTGTGTGTGTGTGTGTGTGTGTGTGTGCGTGAGAGAGTGTGTCTTCCTCGATGCGGTTCAAGCACTGGAACTCCTCTACGCTCCGACAGCCCTGAGCACAGACAGCAGAGAGTGTGTGTGAGAGTGTGTGTGTGTGTGTGTGTGTTAGTGTTGTCACGATACTAGAATTTCTAACTTCGATACGATACCTTGAAAAATATCGATATTCTATACCATTTTCGATACCACGGAGAAAAAACTGCCACAATATTAAGGGGGTATTTTTTTTATTTAAAGCTAAATATAACAAGTCTTGACAATGAGGTATATTTTACATGAACAAAAATGTCCTGAGTTCTATTTGTTTATATTTTTTAATTGGACCAGAGCTAACATGATGTATTTTTATTACCTACTGTTATCAAAGATTAAAATATACTGTAACAAAAAAGCACTTAACAGTATCAAATTGGAGGATAGAGAGTCAGTAATGTATAATAAGATTAAACATTCAATTTTCAGTTAAAGGCATGTCATTATTGAATTTAGAGATGCCATTGTCTAGCTGTTTAGTTTAATTAATATCTGTGTAATCAAATTGATGATAATCGCTAATGAAGGAAAATTGCAGAATTAAATAATAATTTTTGAATAAAGTTAAATAGGCACCAGGGCTGGTTATCGTAACAAAATGTTCGGTACCGATACCGATACCTTGACTTCGATACCGGTTCCTGAACGATACTTTTTTCGATACCAATTTTATGTAACCAGGTTTAACAATATAACATTACCTAATTTTTATTTCAGTTTGTTGACTTTTTTACACTCATATTTTGAGTATGTAAAAAAGCACCAATGCTAAAGTTTTCTATGTTTCCTAATCATTTAACAACATGTATTCTTTACTTCAATGAGCTCATTGTTTCTGCTTTAACTTAATGCATTAATTAACGATGAAACTGAATGAAAATTAATTGAAATGCATTACACTGTCACCTCTGATAACAGATCACTCTAAATTGTAATTTAGACATGCATTTTCTGTAAAGCTGCTTTGAAACGATATGTATTGTGAAAAATGCTATACAAATAAATGTGAATTAAATTAAATATAGGCTACTGGGGGGCGGGATATATACCTGCACGTGAAGCTTGCAGCAAAGCACTGGCAAAAGTAGCCTAATGATTATGGATGTGGAAACAATAGCAAGGAGATATTTTAATTGTTTATTAATGAACAAGTGTTTACTAATGGTGTGTTCACACCGAACGCGAATTTAATTATTTGTGCGAGTAGATTACATACATAGTCAATGCAAAGACGCGAATAGACGCATCATTCGCGCCGGGCGTCGCGAGTGACGCGCACGTTTGCCGCGAACGTCTTCCGCGCAAGTTGAAAAATTTGAACTCGAGCTGAAGATTCAAGCGTCGAACTAGACGCGATAGACGCGTATTTGACGCTCTATTCGCGTTCGATGTGAACACCATTACTCTCAAGTGTATTTTGTGCGCTTCAGTGCCTAGATTTACCGTGTTGCCGGTCTTGGCAGCAATGATCTTGTCGAAAATATTGCATCGCGTGCATCTGGCATCGAGTCTGGCACATGACATAGGTACACTTTGGATCATTTCCACATATTTTCTATCTATCTGGGTTGGGACGCACGCTTACACACACACACACACACACACTGCAGCCTCACGTGCGACGAGCCGCGTCTCTGGGCAGCCGCGTAAACTAGTGTTTTTCCGCCACAGCCAATCATGTTGCATGCTTATTGTTTCACTGACGTTGACGAGATTAACCACTTAGGTACCGAAATGTGGTACCGAAAAACAAGACATGTTTCGATACTCGGTAGTATCGAGGCAATTCGGTCGGTACCTAAAAAGTACCGAACTCGGTACCCAGCCCTAATAGGCACCAGTTAATTTACATTTGACCACAGTTACAATATTTACTTGTCTAAGATTCCTCAGTCAGATTATGTTAACTTTAAGAATTAAAACGAGACAACACAGACTCCTATCAACAACAATACTAGGCCATCTTGGTTAATGTTTCAGAAAAGTTCAAATGAGAAGAGTTAGTGTTTCCTTGAGGATTTTTTTTGGCAGTGGGGGCAGGTCTGTCCAAACAACAAACACCCCTGATGCTGAGCATATGCTGCTAAATAGTAGCCTACCCCTGGAGCCTGTTCCTTAAGTCTGTTTTCACCTATATAATAATTTTAAAAAATGAGTGATGTGAGGGATTATTGATAGTCAAACAATCTGTTGGGTGCCCGCTCGCGGTGTGTAGCTCGTGTCCGCGCTATTCCGACATGCCCGCTCGCGGTGTGTAGCTCGTGTCCGCTCTATTCTCCGCTTATACTGTCTATGATTCTCCGACATGCCCGCTCGCGGTGTGTAGCTTGTGTCCGCGCTATTCTCCGACATGCCCGCTCGCGGTGTGTAGCGCGTGTCCACGCTATTCTCCGACTC